TACCTACAGAATCTTTCCTTGTTGCCCTTGACATCCCTGGCGAGATTTACTTCTGTCAGGGCTTTAGCTTTTCTAACCTGATGCCTGACTTCCTCTTTCTCAGGATGCAATGCTCCTGAGCTTGAAGGTGGTGATCCTTGAATATTAACCAGTTTTTTGGGGCCCCTCTTTCCTCCAGTGCTTTATCCCACGTACTAAGCAAATCCCTGAAGAGGCCAAACTCTACTCTCCTTTAGTCCAGGACAGTAAGCTTGCTGTGTGCCCTCCTCACTACCTTAAGGATCTTGAACTGCACCATTTCCTGGTCACTGCAGCCAAGGCTGCTCTCCAGCTTTACATTCCACACCATCTCCTCCTTGTTGGCAAGAACAAAGGCCCACATAGCACCTCATTGGCTTATACATCACTTAAGAAGGAAGTTATCATCAACAAATTCCAGGAACCTCCTGGATTCCTTATGCCCTGTTGTGTTCTCCCTCTAACAGATATATCAGGACGGCTGAAGTCTCCTGTGGGAACCTGAACTCATAAACATGAGGCCACACCTACCTGTCTACAGAGAGGACCTCATCCACTCAGTCTTCCTTGAAAGGCAGCCTGTAGCAGACCCCTGCTTTAAAGTCATCTGCCCCTGCCCTCCTTTTAATTCTGACCTATGAATTCTCAGTCAGCTCCTCATCCATCCCCAGATGGAGCTCCGTGCACTCCAGCTGTCCACTGACACTGAGGGCGACAGCCCCTCTTCTTTTCCCTTGCCTGTCCTTCCTGAAAAAGCTTATATGCTTCCATTTGAACACTCCAGTCACAGGAGCCATCCCACCACAGCTTCTTGATGCCAAGAAGATCACAGCCCTGCAGGCATGCATACTTCTCTAACTCCTTGTATACTCCCCACGCTACATGCATTGGCATACAGGCATTTAAGCTGGTCTCCCAGTGAAGCTGGCTGGGGTAGTGGAAATTCCTTTCGCTGCTGTTCAGGTGTTTTCCAGATGACCTGTGATCCCTCTCCAGACTCTAACTGGCACTAGCATCAAACTGGTAAGAATGGTATGGATTGAGATTCCCCTCCCCTGGCAACTTTAGTTTGAAGCCTTCTCCACCATGTTGGCAAGCTTATGAA